TACCCGGTGGATATTCGAATGCTTGTCCGTGTACGGCACGCTGGGTACGGTCTTGTATCCTGCGCGTCGTCGCTGAATGCGATTGAGGATGATGCCAATTAAGATTATGAGGAAGATTGTGCCGAGTGCTGCACAGAGGGCAACGAGGATGACTATACCAAGGGAATGGCCGCCTTCTAGAATCACCAGTCAGTACAAGAAACAGAGAGAGATGAGGAAACAACTCACCACTTCCTCTTAGGACGTCGGTGTTGGAAGCGAAGACTTGGCTGATGCTGCCTGGACTACCATCTGATGTTGAGGCCAAGATCAAGGGTTCCATATGGGTGCCATTGAACACGGCCGCTGCCGCATTACCAAAGCCAGTGATGTTCAGCTGGCCGCTGACCAATAAGACATAGTCATTGTCGAGGTAGGGAGTGGATCGATGGTTCCTCGTCAACGGCATGATTTGCAGGCCGCGGATGGTAGTACCCGTGCTGAAGACATCTGGAACTGGCCTCACTTCCGTACCGTCAATTTCGACCAAGAACGTCGAGCCGTTGGTGGCAGTGCCAGCTACCCACATGGTATTTGCATCGGCGGTGGCTGGGCAAAAAGCAGTGACTGGACCTGGAACACCACCGACGGCCAACACATCCCACGTCTGACTTCTAGTATTGTATGTCGCAAGGGACGTTTGATTGCCTTGGACTGTCAGGTTGCCAGCAGCCAGAAGTTCCCTGGTCGTTCTCCAGAACAAGGACGAGACCGTGCCCTCTAGGCCAGTGCCGACTGGGCTCCACTGATTCGACATAGTGTCGTAGCTGCACACAACCGGACAGGACAGATCCTGCGACGTGCCTGAAAATGCCCCACCCACGTAGACAGCCGAAGTGCCCGATTGTGGAGCAACGGCGTTGACAACCACGTTAGGCCCTCGCAGGGAAGCCGGTTGGATGGCTCGGAATGCTGCAGTACTCATGTCGTACAGAACCAAGCCAGCCACGTTCGCGTCTCCAACCTGTCCAGAGACGTTGCCACCGGCGAAGAGGATATTCCCCGAGAGAGCCATCGTCAGAATGGTCGAGTTCGTGTCTAATCCTGGAGGAGGTCCAGTCACTTGGTTGTTGTTGGAGAAGTTCAAGAACAATAGATTCTCAATGGTAGCACCACTTGTGGCAGTTGCGGCGAAATGACCTCCCATGATGGTCACGTTCTGATCGTTTTCGGTGTAGTATAGGCCTGTTGCCACTCCATTAACGTCTTGAACAGCCTGAACAGCTCGCTTTCTGGTGCTGGGCGGGGTATCACTTGAGGTGATATCAACAGGAAGCTGTGATAGCACGACCTGACCAGATTCTGATCGCAAGCCAGCGGCTCCACTGACGGCCAACCCGAGGGAGGCAATGGTGCCGGCCCCCAGCCAGGTGTTGTTCGGGAGGAGAGTTGCAGCGAACAATTGACCAGCCAAAGCTTCCTTTGGTACGTCCAGGTGGGCAAGCCACGCACTTCTTGACGGCACCCAAATTGCGAGCCCGGCTGCTCGAGTTGCAGGAGTAGACCCGGAGCTGCGGATCTGGTTGAATGGGCCGCTGAAGGCGATCACGGTCTCGGGGCCGCTCTGAGAGAGATTCAGCTGCATGGGCTCGACAGCTTCAACTGGTCCATTGAGCCCAGCACCTAATGCGACCCATGCGTCCTTGGAATACTGGTACGCAGCAACATTGCTCAGTCCATTCATATTGTTTCGGGCAACGTTACTGAAGTTGCCTCCAACGTACAGAAAGTCGCCCAAGCTGTAGACGTCGCTAACAGCAGAGTTAAGACCACCCCCAGGTAAAGAAGAGGCGTTGTTGTTGCTGAAGGCCATGATGTTCTCAAACACATCGTCGGAGAAGCGGCCAGCTGCGTACAGCGTGTCATCCTTGGCTGCCATGGCCAGCACGTTAGCATTCGGCTTGAGCATGGTCCCAGCATTATTGATGGCAGATTCTGAGAAGTCAGCGGTGGCATAGTCGATCGTAGTGTTGTTGGGGTCGTAGTCGAACAAGCCATTGAGACCGCCGGTAGTTGAGCCTGTGAATCCAAACTTCACCCGAGATGCAACCACTAACTGGGCTTGTTGCAGCCCTGATGGTCTGAGGGTCACGGATGGTCGGAAAGATGTAGTGGTGGCGTCGACATGGCCTTGAAAGACGATATCGTACTTGTCAAAGTTGTTTGTTTGGAAAAGTGTGGTGCCAAATGACTGCTTGCCATCCTGCGTCAGACTGCCAGTGACATTAACAACAGCACGTGCGGAACAAGAACTATCCTGTAAGCAACCTGGGGTGTAGACGATGATGGAGTAGTTTCCGCTTTGCTGCACATTGGGCTGGAAGACAATATTCGCTGTGTTCACGTCCTCTGGGCCAACCACGACTGTGAGGTAGTCGGCCACGCTTTGCAGCGAGGGAGTGGTGTACCATGGTCCAGTCGCAGTGGCGGTGGATCCCAGGCCATCAGCCTGGCAAGTGGGTTCATTGAAGGACTCGATGGCGTAGGAAAAGATATCATTCTGGAATAGCTCGATGCCACCAAGGCCGGCTCCATCTCCGTACCAGTCCGAGATGTCAATGCTGAAGCTGTTCATGCCGACTAGGTTGACAAAAAAGAAGTCCTGATATGGCTGCGTCGCGTTGTACTCGGCCAGTGGACATGTTGATTGGCAGGCAATGAGATCTCCCGTAGCTGGATCGGTGGTGGTGAGGTTGAGGATGCCGTTGAGCGGGTGTGCCGTAAACCGCCAGGTCTTGGTGCCTCTTCCAGCCTGGCTCGTCTGCCATAGTCGCAGCCTGGTGGGTTCGAAGCCAAATCCAAAATCAGCGCGCCATCTTCCCGGCGTCGCGTCAGCTAGCAAGAAGTCGGACGCTGCATCAGAGTTATTTGACGGACAGACAATGTTGTTACCTGTCGTCGTATTCCCTTGGGCAGAGATGTTGGCAGTCGACAGGTTGATGACTTGAGTCTCGGGGTCCTTCAGCGACGAGGAAGTTACATTGCCCAGACCGGTGAACGAACCTCCGAAGACAATGTGTCCGTTGGGAGCTTTGGTGATCGAGCTGACCGGGCCATCGAACCCTGCAAATGGCAAGCTGGACCAGTTGCCTGCTGCCCATCCGATGGCATTTGTAGAGTTGCCGGCGTCAAACGCACCGCCAACATAGAACATCGAGTTGTCCTGATCGCAGTAGAGCGCCGATACCGTTCCTTGCACTCCTCCGATCGCCCGGACCTCCAGCGTGGTGGCATTCAACAATGCCAACGATCGCGCCGCGACACCTCCGATGCTGGTAAAATTGCCTCCCACGACAATTCCCATTAATGTATCATTAACCACCAGCGGACACATTGCTTCGATGCTGGCATCTGTAGAGGAGAGCGCGTCGAACGCGCCGTTCGGTAATTGTGACAGTACGGATTGTGTGCCATTGTTATTATATCCCTGCTGCTGTCCGGCCGACGTGTAAACCGAGATGGCATCGAAATTGCCGGCAACCGTGACCTCCCCGAGCGACTTGAGGTCGAGATTGGGCGAAGGTACTGACTGAGAGATGGCTTGTGGAGCAAACAAGAGGAGAGCGGATGCCGCCTGGGGGCCGAACCGCGACAGCAGATGCATCTTGGTGTGCAAGCTGTATCTGCGCCGTGGCGACCCGACGGAGGAAGGTGTTGTTACGACGGTGAGGTTCGGAGAGGCATGAGTGACGATGCAGGTACAGTGTACACAGCGCGGTAGATCGGAATTTGGACGAGCTTCTAAAACTGGATTTTCGGAGTTGGGGAGTAGGGCGCGGTGAGATTTAGCTGATGACGGACACGCGTGGACAGGACGGCGCAGGAGCAGGGGTCCCTTGCAACGGGGGGTGGTGTGTGTATGTGTGTGTGTGTGTTATCTCACAGGGCCACCCCGGAGTTGAACTGAGAGCGAGACGACGGGCAGGAAGGAGCGACAGTCGTAGAATGGGCGGTATGGCGGCGCAGAGACAGGGAGTGGGAAGGTGAAGTTGTAGATCCTTGCACGAGAAGCTGCAAGTGACGAAAAGAGATTGTCCGCCGTGGCTTGAGAATGACGGGCTTGACGAGAAGGACTTGATTTCTGGCTCACGGCCTGCTGTGCAACCACCTGCAGCAGTGCGGCTGGAAGAGGAAGAGTGTCAGAACCAGGCGAGCTGCCAATTTGACATGATAGGCTGGCGTCGCCCAGGAACAACCTCCGACCCCGCAGCGAAGCTTTGTTCCGTTGCTGCAGCGTCGGCATTGAAATGAGCGGTACCCAGCCATGTCACCCAGTCATGCTGCTGGAACGCCCCCGGCCACAATGCCAGTGCCCAGCTGTCAGTTTGGGCCACCAATAAGCCTCCAGAAGGCCTCGAATGCCGCCATCGACTGGACAACAGAACGGCCACAGAATCTTCTACGCTGCAAATCATGGCGACACAGACTGTTCATCGAGATTATCCATCTCCGTGTCCGAGATACCCTGAGAGGCGTGTCAAGATGGCGACGTCGAATGATTCTACTTCTGAACCACCCGCCACTGCTGAAGTGCAATCTCCCGCAAGGTCTTGGTACCCGATTCCGAGTGAGAGCTGCCTCGGCGGCCAGTGGCTGGTTAAGCGTACGAAGCAGGTGTTCAAGTCTATGCGAGTTTGAGTTCTGTCACGGTGCGCGCTCGACACCTTTACCTCCGGTTGACAGGGTGAGCCGTCAGTATTCGTACTTCGAGGGTGCACTTTGCATCGCACCTCAAGGTTGGCAGCTTCGGTAACTGGAACACGGTCGTCATCTGGCAGGGGAGTCCCATGCATGGAATGCCTTAAGCGAGTCCCCTACGACAAATGTCGAGCACCTTGAAACCCGTGATGCTGAAACACTGACACAAATCTCCACAGCCAAACACCATCTGACAGTGATGAGAAATGGATAACTCGGAAGTGTTTCGACAAACCTATATTCCGATCCTAGCAGCGACGGTTTCATCGTCTACTACGTCGTCGTCGTCGTTTGACCCTTTCGCTGGCACTAGTGGTGATCTCCTCGATCTGTACCACAGTTTTCGCCTTATCATCTTCCTCGCGGTGTCTTTTCAGCGCAACCCGCCGTATCGTCGTTTTCTCGACTACTTCGGCCTCGTCATCCTCCCGCTTCACAGGATCTTCTTTCATGCCCGCCTCCATCACCACTCCCACCTCTGCCTTCGTCGTCAGCCTCTCCGCAAACGTTCTCAGATCCGCCGTGAAGAGCACGCTGTGCGCCCAGCCCGCTTCCTTGCCCCAAATTTTGCGGAAGTGATTCGCAACCGTATCATACGTCGCTTTAGTCATGCTACTGGTCTTGCCTTTTGCCAGCTTGTAATCCCGCTGCGCGATTTGCAAGACGTGGGTATCCACGGGCACTACTTCGCCCCAGCCCAGTCCCATGAGACAGACACAGTCGGCGACCTTTGGCCCCACGCCTTGAAGGTCAAGCAGTTTCCCATGCGCGATGCGGTAACCATCTCGGCCTTCTGGTTTCATTTCGCCGGCCGGTGAGGGACTCGTGGTGCCATAGGCCGGCGACTCGGGATTGCGCAGACTATCCAGCCATCCGGCGTCTCGTTCTTCGGCGATCATCTTGGCCGTCTGATAGATGTACTTTGCTCTGTAGCCAAAGCCCAACTCTCTCAGATGCGCCTCGACATTCCTGCCTGTTAACGCCGATGGCGGCGGGAAGTCGTGGTACGCCCGGCCTTGCAGCGTGCCGATGTACGCCCCGTAATGCGTGCACAGCTTGTCCACCATCTGCGATATCCTGACGATGTTATTGTTACTGCTGCATATAAATCCAATCAATGCCTCCCACGCGTCTTGCCGCAATATCCTCACTCCCGTGAACTTGGGCGCTTTCTTGCGGAAATTGGCGTCTGACGCAGACCACTGCGCATAGAGCGCCTCAAGATTGGGTTCGAGGTTCAGGTAGTATTGGAGTAGGGCTTTCGTGTCGTCGTTCTCGACCTCCTCCCCTGAGGTGGTCGGCGGTATGGACGAGGGAGGCGTCAAAGGCGCTTCGAAGGTCGCAGCTGCAGGCCATATTGAGCGGTACTGGATATGTGATTTGTCTGGCTGGGACAGTTGTACGATGCGGCCACGCAGCGTACACGCCCAGGTCTGGTCGTCGCATTGGCGCCAGCGGAAGGACTGGCCGCAGCGCAGGGTAGTTGCGAGACAAAGCTCGCTCAGCGCCACAGGCAGCTTCCGCCACTCTGTTATTCGTGTCATCTGGAAGAGTGTGGATTTGCGAGATATGTACTCGTTCTCCGTCGAGTCAAGAAGATGGGAACTTTTGAGTTTGAGAGCGTCGATGTGGAGCCCCCCCTTCCGTGAAGATGTGCAGCCGAATGAATCTCTAATTGAAACTCGAAGCGAACGCGAGTCGCGTCACGCGTTGTGCATCTGTGGCGCGTGGCTCGGTGCTTGGCCAGAAGCTACAGTACGGAGTACTGTACTCCGTACACCACTAATCAATTACTACTTTCCACAGTGTCCTCGTAACCCTTCGCAATGCGGATTCTTGATTCCTCCGTACCCCGTGACCGCACCTCATGGAGATTACCGGTTTACAGACAGCACCATCTACTATGATTGTCGCTGTTCATACCAGAAGTGGCGGGCTCACACCCTGCCTATCCGCGTGATCCTCCTCATCTCCTTAGCCTCAGGCATGTATGTCCTCGGTTATGGAAATGTTGGAGATGAAAGGACGTTTCACGCGGGGAAGCCACCAATGTATATCCCGATGAGTGTTCCGAGTGACCTATGGGTAATTATTAGCTTCATGTTGCAAGTGACACCAAAGGGCAGGCAGGCTGCAGCTTCACGATGTCGACTCCAGATCTAACAGGAAAGGGGGCAATCGTCACGGGCGGCGGTTCTGGTTCGACTCCTAACCCATCCACATCGCCTAAAGACCAGCTCCGAAGATACATGACTGATTGATCATAGGCATCTCACTCGCCTTCACAAGACACCTCCATCAAGCCGGGTGCAACGTGCTGATCTGCGACCTTGGTTTGCATCGAGAGGCCCAAAGTTGGCTCGACTCTCTACCCAAAACATCTGATGCAAACCCCCGAGTTGTCTTCACCAAAACAGACGTGACGGATTGGAAGCAGCTTGAACAAGCCTTCGACGTGTATGCGAAGGAGTTTGGAGGAGTGCCGCATGTCCTATGTCCTGGCGCGGGTATTTACGAGCCAGTACGCCTCCGCTGACCCTTTCCCGTACACAAGCCCTCATAGCTGATCCTCGCACGCCCAGTCTGCTCCTAATTTCTGGAACGACAAGGATGACGACGGCTACAAGATCCTGCGCATCAACCTCGAGCATCCCATCAAGATGTCTCGCATAGCGATCAGACGATGGGTCCAGGCCGGTCAACCGGGAAACATCATCTTGATATCCAGCACCGGCGCGCAAAAGGCAAGTATCCTGACGCCCTTGTACGGCGCGGCCAAGCAAGGGATCAGCAACCTTGCACGCGCGCTGGCGCCACTCGAGAAAATGGAGAATATCCGAGTCACCGCCGTGGCACCGGGCCCGACCATGTCGCCGCTAATGTACGATCACCCTGAAGCGATCCGGTTTGTGGATCCAGAGAAAGACAAGCTCGCGACCACCGACGAGATCGCGAGAGGTATGATGGCGCTGTGCTTCGGCGGGAAGTTCCCTGCTGGTACGGTGCTGGAAGTCACGCATCCGGACCATTGGAGGGAAGTGTCGTTGTTGAATGATCCGGGACCCGGTGCACACGCTTTCACCAGCAGGAAGGACGATGCTATTGTCGATGTGATAGCTGCACTTGACGAAGATAGGGCGCGGAAGACGTAAACGAAGGGTATCCCGCACTGCCGCAGGGACTACTTTTTCCACCCCTCGTCTCCTGTACCGAGAATATATTGCATGGCTCTCCTAATTCACACGCTCAAAGCTCTAATCTCTTCTCTCCTTGGGCCTGGCCAAACGTTGTAGCCGCGTTCCTGCCAGTAACTACGGCCTCACCATGGATGACCACATTGTCATCAATGATGGAGTTGTTGAAGATCAAGTACTCGTGTCGTCCCTTCCAGAACCAGTATACTCCAGCAAAGGCTACGACGCCCGCCAGAATCACAATCGCCCAGTTCATGTTGGCGATCTCGCCCGCCACCGGAACGTACTGTGGGAAGATGTAAAACAGGACCACGATGATACTCCAGAGCAGGCTAGAGACGTTGACCGCGTAACCCCATCTGCCAAGATCGAAATGGGGTCGCGGTGGTAGGTGATGGCGGCCCCTGAGAACGACGCAGAGGATGGGAATGCAGTATGACACTTGTAGAGCCACGCCGCCACCGGAGATGATGGCATAGAAGGCAAGTTGGCTACCGAGGACAAGCAGACCCGTGAGCAGGTTGAGCACAATGAAGCCCATCAATGCTCGTAACGGCATTTCGAAACGCTTGTTGACCTGGGCAAAGTAATCCGACCACGGGAAGGCTCTATCGCGGGCCATGGACCAAGCGAGTCTCGATCCCGCCGTGTTCATGTTGACGATGATGAGATACTGCGTTCGGTCAGTGGAGCTGCCCTGCCACGGAACAATCGCCTTTACGTACGTTCAGTCCCATCATCATGATTGCGACCCATATGCCACCTCCATACGTGGAGTCCAAGACGTCCATGAACCATGCCTAGGCAAGCGTCAGTCGATCAAGGGCTTGAATTGAAGGCCTGGTCATGTACGAACCACGTAAGATGAGGTGGCTTCCAGGTAGGTTTCCCAGTTGGGCCCAACTGTGTAGCACATGACAATGGCTGAAAGCCAAGCAGTTACTCCCGCCCATACCATGGACCAGATCATGACTCGCTGTCACGTTGTAAGCACACGCCAAATCCAGATCTCAGACTCAAGTACGTACCGGGGCATCGCGCGAGGCATTCTTCATCTCCTCAGCCAAGTGCATCACACCGTCCGTGCCGTAAAGGCCATAAATCGGCACGTACATGCTCAGAATAAATACCCAGCCCTTTGGACCCCAGCCTGAAGTGTTGAGAAATTCGGTGAAGACGAACTTGGAGCTGTTCTTGTCAGCGAGCACCAAGAAGACTATAGCCCAGATCAGTGCATTCGAAATATTGAAAAAAGCACCAAAGATCTGAAGAGCTGGAAGGTATTTCGGTAGCAAATTCGACACAGCCGGCGCGACAAGGAATCCGGAGTAGATGAGCCAGGTCATGTATGGCTTGGACAGGGTCAGCACCAATCACCATGGTTGTGTACGTTCAAGAGGCAAGGGAAGCCATACCTTCCACTCTACATCCGGATGAATAATTTCAACCAGAGCCGCCACGATCTCCGCACTGTTCAAGGCGCAGGAACTCGAGGTTGAGATCTCGCCCACCAGAACGCACCACCCAACAAGATACGACAGGAACCGGCGGGACTTTTCGGGGGCGACGACCTACAACGATCAGCGTTTCATTCCTCAAGGTCAGCGACTGAAGCTGTACCTGAGTATAGAACTGCTGGCCGCCTGCCGTGGGCCAAATGGAGCAGTACTCGGCCAGTGAAGCCATGACCAAGAGCTGCCCGACTGTGACGGGGACGCTGCGTTGGGCCTTCGTCAGATATACAGACACTCAGAGCGGCGCAATCGTCCATGGACTCACGTTCCCCAGACAAAGCAGACCGGTCCGCCCAACGTGAAAATGTAATAGTATAAAACGATATTGCACGACCATGAGCACAGGATGGACGTCTGGTATGCCATCACTGATTGGGCATATGTTAGTCCGGCCGCTCAGTGCCCCTTCGTAGAGCACTCACGACTCCAAAAGTTGTATCTTCGTTTGAGCTCCGGCTTGTGGCCGAGGCTGATGAGTCGACTCTCATCGCTGCTCAATCCGACGTTGTCATCTTTTACTGTGCCCATCTCGGCAGCTCATGTGGTAAGGCTTAACTCTGTGGACAACAAACAATAGGTACAGAAAGCCAAGGGGCGAGCGTGGTTCGACTCATGGAATAGGATGGAATGTGTCTTTGATTCGCAACGGATTCGACCTTTCAATTCAAAAGATGGACGTCTCGAAGTTGAGGTTGGATTCTTCGGTGACTTAAAGGTGAGGCCGAGTTCACGTAATGGCGCTCCTCTCACTTTAACCACCAAGATGAGTTTAGCTGCCTGCGCCTATCGAGGCCCGCTATCTTGCTGGCGGCGCGTTCCTGGTGCACATGGGGGATGAACCCTAGATAAGGACAGGAGCCAGGTATCCGGAGTAGGTGAAAGTACGATAACATCATAACATCGTGCTGAGGGTCTTTTGCACACGCACCGCAGATGAAGGGCCCAGACGCCCAACAAATGACGGGCTGCACGATTGTCGAAGGAGGCGTTAGGCGGACGGGAACAACCGAGGTTCTCTTGCTTTTGACCACGTCAAGCACTAGCCTCACTGCATCAGCGCCTCTAGTTGCGGAGTCTGCAAGAGGGAGTTCCGTCGACCAAAGAAACTACCTGGGTACGGGTAGAGGAAGAGACAACGGCAAGACGGATCGTCAGCCGCGTACCCCAGATTTCGGTGGAGAGCAGCATTTCTCGGGCACACATACCTGAGTCTTGATAGTGCGAGCGGTTCGTCTCTTGGGGTGGCATCGTGCATCAGTTTAAGCCTCAGAATTATTCCTTAACATTCCTTGGGAAATGCTTCGGTGGGCTGCCTCGCCGCCTAAGCGCCCCTATTGGCAGACTGGAAGAGGCCTCTGGGGCTCCTTAGGCCTAGAGATGCCTAGAATGGGGATTGGGAAGCTGCCCATCACGTGCTAACGCCCCAATCAGCCAAGTGCAGCCGCGATAAGCTCAGCTCCACGGTTCTTTCCAGGCCAAAAGCCCAAGAAAGACTTCGTTCAGCTTTGAGATTGCGTTCCCTGGAACAATGACATTTGCCCGTCCGCTCATATTGCAGCAGAATGGCATGACCGTTGGCATCGTTTCCTGCACCGTCCAGTAGCAGCCGCCCTGCCCTGCCCCGCCCTGCCATGGACGCGGTCAAGACCGAGGAGTCAGCGGCATCGGCTCAAAGCTCAGGCTCAAGTCCGCCAGCGACCGGGCCACAAGGTGCACATTCGCAATCTCCTCTGCACCTGAGGAACATGTTGAGACCGTGCTTGAGAAGCTGACTGTGACCCGTCAGATTGCCCAACGTGTGTCAGAAGACGCATCCGCTGCGATAGATCACTTCCT